GGGCACCCCTTTCTCCCTCCCCGAGCCCCACCCCAGCACCCATCCCGTGGCTGCTGCCGCCGCTGGGACCGGCCCCGGGCTCAGCACTGACCGGGATGTTGTATCTGGTGCGGTACAGGGTCCTCATGGCCACGCTGCTGCCACACATGCAGCACTCGTCCATGTCCCTGGACACCTGGCACTCCAGACACGGGAAGCAGAACATTCCACAAAGACCTGTGGGATCATGAAACGTGGGCTCAAAGAGGGCTGAGGGGCGCAAAGACTGAGGAAAARGGGGAAAGYCAGGCGGGAGCTGTGGCTCTCGGCKTCAGGCAAGAGCTGCTCTGCCTCCAGTACCCACGAAAGTGGGGTTTGCAGAAGGGCTAACGCTACAGGAGAGGGTGAAACACCAGGAACACGCCGTGAKCAGCAGCAGGAGAGAGGGGAAGGTGTGTACTCACACACGCCGCAGTCGGAGCAGCAATCCATCAGCCCCGTCTGCCACTGCCCCTGCTGCGGGGCAACCGTAAACTGCGGCTGGACCGTAATCACGGGTTGAGAGGCCATTGCCAGCACAGACACAGCTCCCTCCAGGCAGTTTGTGGTCTGGAAAGAAAAGCCATCCGAGGGAGATGTTGCAAATGTTTCTGAAGTGGGTATCTTGCTCAGGCTGCTGTACTCAAAGAGGAAGCTCCCTGGAAAATCACCCCTGCCAGGGTACTGCCACCTCGCCACAAAGAGGGGGAAACAGCTCTGTCAGAAGCTGCCATAACCCCCTGAATAAAAGCCCTCCCCAAAACCAAGGCAGCGGCACCTCAACYCTTTCCTATGCAAGTAAAACATCTCTGTGAAAACAGAGGTCCTTCTGCTTCAGAGCTGCAGGGCTTCAACACTTCAAACCTGTCTTCTCATCTCCAGCTCATCTTCCATCATTGTCTGCGTAAAATGTTTCGGGGTTGGTTTTTATATATATATTTTTTTTTTTTATGATCCCAGTCTCCCAAAGCTACTCMTGCTTGGTTCGAGCTTCTCCAGGCTCTCAGGAGTCACCTTAACCTTTGCTTTTTTCTGTCAGGATCTCAGCTTCCCCCTCTCTTTTCCTTCCTCACTTAGATGCTTCAAGGCAGTGGGTTTTCCTTGTCTCTTTCCATCACCTTAAGCCTCATCACTGGTTCCCATCCCTCTTCCACCTGACTGTCTGTGCCAACACCTCATCCTCCTCTTCCTCAGTCCCCTGGAGTCACCATGGCCTGTGGAGTTGCTCTCCACCCCATCCTTCCTCAGCAAGGGGCTGCACCTTCTGAGAGCAGGAAAGCTCCTGCTCCACAGCACCATCCCTAAAATCACCTGAACGATGTAACAACTCCACCTGCACCTTCAACAGGGGCTCCTTCCCTCTCCGCCACCTCTGCAAGGTGCAGCACTAGCCTCTGCACTCTCACTTTCCTTCTGGAGTTTTAATTTATTTAAAAAAAAAAAAAAAAAAGACAATGTTCCCCCACGAAAATGCCCTTCCGACACTCTCCCTGCCCTGTGCCCAAGCTCAGCACCACGTTGTTAAGCACACTGCGGGGATTGTTTTCATATCAGAATTACACATTAACACAGAGTTAAGTATTAAACAACACAATAAATGTGGTGGAACAAATATATTACCGTGCCCAGCACTTGGATGATGCCATTGAGCTCATTACCCACATGGGAGTGGCGCTGTATTTGTACTGATTAGTGCCAACAGGTGGCAAAGGGGTGATGGCTCTGCCRCCAGCTCCTGTGGCTCCCCAGCATTTACAGACTGTCCCAGGCACATCYCTGCTGTCACACACAGCCTGTTACYGTAGGGCCCAACCCTTGTTYCTGGTAATCACAGGAACAGGAAAAAGATTGTTGGATTATGCTGTAAGAGGGAAGAAAGCTGGTAAAAATCTCTACATGCTTTGTTTCTGACTTTCTGCAGGCAGTCTGGGCTGTCCCTTGTGAGACACCTGTGAGTGCAGCAGGGGACACTGCACCCACCTTCCCTCTCCGGATGCCTCGTGGCCTCTCCTTGCTTATTCATGCATGAGATCCCAGGGAATTCCCAGGAGCCAATGGAATGCCTCCTGGCATGCCCAGACTGCAGCCCCTCCAGCAAACCTTGGCACAGGACGATTTAAGAAGCAAGAAGCAGGAGGGGTGGGAGGGAGACAGACCACAGACAGACTGTGCTGTGGTAAGCCCAGCACAGGGCTCCCTTGCAGRGACAGGGATGTCCAGCATCAGGCAGGACCACAGGGCCCACAGGGAGAGGTGTGCACAGGAGCAGCAGCAGCAAGAGGAGTTTTAGGGGGAGGATCCCACAGCCAGTTTTCCCCTTCCCCTCCCCTGGTATGAGCACACCSCATCCCTGCACTGGTGGAGGCTGGAGAAGCCTCTGCCACACACTCACCTCCCAACAGAGGCCCAGCACACCAAAAATATCACAATTCTACAGGTCACAGCCCCCTGGCATGGCCAGCCATGCTGGAATGACTGATGGGGACAAAAGGGTCACCAACACCCCAGCTCATAAAGCAGCYTCTGTAGGCACCTGTGCACAAATAAGCAGTGCAGTGCAAAAGCTGGTGTGCTCTAACTCTCTTCCCCATGTCTCTCCAGATGCAATCAGCAGCACCCACCACTCTGTGSTTAACCCTGAAACAGTTTCCCATGCACAAAACCCGTTTCTATTTCCAGCTCTTCCCCCTCCCCAGCATCACCACTTCACCCCTGAGCAGTTTCCATCCCACAACCAAAGCAAAGCTGTGCCATACATACTTCACAAGCAGTCCTTTTCTCAGCAGACACGTATCCTTTCCTGGTCCTTATGCTTTATATGATCTCTAGGAAATGACCTCTGCTCCCTCTGACTAAGAGCAAATGCCCGCTTAGGCACAGCTTTGCATAATCACTCCTTCCCCGCTTTGTTCCTGCTGCCTGCCCTCGCCTTTCCCCACCTGGGCATTTTCCAGGCCCAGAGTCCCAGAGGGAGAGGTTTCTAGAGAAGGGCAGTTTCTTTCCAGGCCCCTGTGCTGCCCTAAGCCATGTGCTGCTGGAAGAGCTGTGCCTTTCCTTCGTCAAATCGGAGCATCTGCAAGAGCTGCCTGTGACTGCACTGGGTGACACAAGAGTGGCCACTCTCATGCTAAAATTGCATTTTTCTTTATTGTCAGGGATCATCCATGGCACCGACGGGGTCAGCTGGGGTTTAAGCAGTTGGGAGTGCCACCACGCCCACCCCGCAGAGGGGCAGAGCCACCACCTGCCMTTCAAAGCTTCTGGGGAGAAGGTGAAGGCAGTGCAGGGACAAAAGAATAATCATATTCTCCTTCAAGAATGAAGCTGGGGAATATTTGTAGGGATCAAAGAACCTTCAGCATTCCTCCTGAGAGTGATCTCCACCTTCTGGATGGGAATGCAGGGCTCACAGTCCTGTAGGCAGACAGGTTCTATAAGGCCATGAAGGAAAATGGCACTGCTTATCCATGGAGGGGGCCCAGATAAACCATGATGCAGACAGGTTTTTATTCCAGGGGGATAGGAATTCATGCTCAGGATCCACATCTCTGCAGCATCGAGGGGAGTTGCTGCCAGGCAGCCCCMAATGCCCATGCCTTTACATTCAGAAAGGTGGCACTGGGTAGCAGCCCTGGACAGCCACCAGGGCCACCACAGCAGGGGCAATGATGGGTGGCCTGCAGAATCCACTTTTCTCAGGAGACCCAGCTCTGCCATGGAGCAGTGATCACKTTCACAAATTTTTCAAGTTGGATGAGCAACACCAACTCCTTCAATRTATTAAATATCCTTTCTAAAACCTGATTCATTAGCAAAATACTAACGAAAATACCTGTCTGCAGTGGGCACAGGGAAATCTCAGCTGTACCAGGGGCTGCTGAGGTGGATGGGGTGGGAGAAGGATGGATGCCTCGGGTGCAAGAATGGCACACACAGAGGTAGGAAGACCAACTCAAAACTTTATTGTTGCAGTTAATTAGGGTAAATCAAAGGCAGTCATGGCAAGCTCCATATGGTGCATTTCCCAACTGTGAGAGCAGCAGTGACTCCTGCCAGCAGCAGCTCCAGGGATGCAGCGAGGATGGCAGCATCTGCAACAGGACAGGACTGGAGGGTCAGGAAGCGGGGCTGTGTCTTCCCACATTCTGTGTGTCCCCCCAGTCCTTCCCCTCTACCCTGTACAAGGTTCCCAGCAACATTTTGTTTCAGGACAGGTCACTCTTGTCACCACTTCCCCATGGCAGCAAACTTTGTCCCATGTCAAGTTGTTGGCACGAGAGGCTGTGGGAAGCAGCTTGGCTGCATGTGATGGCAGCTTTGTGGAGCAGCAGCAGCACCCCCACCTTACCAGAATATGCCGAGCTCCCTCCTGCGGTTGATGTCTCTCTTAATTTGGCAAACGGAGCACACGGGGCACCACAGGGTGACACAGAAGTCAGAGCAGATGGACCCCTGTGAGGGAGGAACTGGTCAGGGACAGAGGCTTTCCACAAGCAATGTTTCAGCCAAGGAAATGTTTATCACATTCCAGGTCAACTACGCTTTTTTCTTGTCTGGCTGCAGCATCCTGAGTAGCAAACACTGAAGCCCTGGGCTGGCAAACCCCCAGGACCCTGGAAAGGAAGGAGGGAGCCCTTAATGCAGGCTGCAGATAGCTACTTATCTTTTGGCTTCYGAAGTTCAGACTGGGAAGAAAAATGCACACAGGAACAAATAATTTGGGCAAAGTGGACTTGGGCCCCACAGTTTGCCCTTGGGATGGCATCAACTGCCTCCCCTACGGGAAGAAACACCTCCACATTTGTACTGTCCACCCTTCTCCCAAATCTGATTATGGATCTTTATCTCTGAAACCAACTTCACCTATTGTTTAGCCTCCCCGTGCTTATCTCAATCTTTCCCACTTTTCAAAGCTCAAAGGGGGAAGCAGCAGCTTATGTGGATATGAATGGGACAAAAAGGGAGAGCAGAAATCACTGCTTCCCTGAGCTCATCCCTTAAGGGCAGAGAGAGGGGCCTTGGGGATGCCTCATCTTTCAGGATGCAGCAGGGTGAGGGGCAGGCTCAGCACTGACCGGGATGTTGTATCTGGTGCGGTACAGGGTCCTCATGGCCACGCTGGTCCCRCACAGGCAGCACTCGTTCATGTCCCCGGCCACTTGGCACCCCAGGCAGGGGAAGCAGAACATCCCGCAGCAGACTGGCAGGGAGAGAAACACAGMATGGGCTGAGGCTCTGCCTGCCCAGAACCACCGGGATCAGCAGAGCTGGGAGAGCCAGGCTGCATCCTGCACCATGGCACCGTGGGGCCGAGCAGCAGGGACCAGGAACGRGTGTCCCCAGCACTCACAGACGCCACAGTCGGAGCAGCAGTCCATCAGCCCTGTCTGCCACATGGATCTGGAGACAGCGGGCCCGCCGTACTGCGGCTGGATCGTCACCACGGTTTGTGCAGCCATTCCCGGGTCCTCTGCTGGAAGAGACAGCCAACAGGACAGTCAGTGAAAAAAAAATAAACCATGGTCGGTCTGAAGCTCCAGCCAAACTGGTGGCTATCACCCTTCAGCAGGTAGCTCAGCTCCCTTGCTGCCACTGGGGATGTTAAAGCATAACTTACCTTTTCAAAATTTTTCATTTTCTACCATTTTATCCAGCCTTCAAAACAGCATCAGGCCACAGGTGCTCCCCACTCCACCCCATAAAGACTTTGCTRGTGCTTAGACACGGCTCATTTCCCTTGTGCTGAGCGGGCTGGCAGTGAACCCTGGCTGAAGGGAGTGACTTGGGCATTCCGGTTGTTGGACTTGGCATATTTTATGTAAGATGGCTTTGGCGTGGGTACAGAACATGTGGGAAGGACCCGAGTACTCATTTCCTCATAGCAGAGCCAGGCTACACGCAAGAGAGATACTACAGAAAACTTGTATCTCTGGTTTCATGAGGTAGGGAGCCAGAAAGGCAGAAAATCATTGTACAAAGTCTGACACCTCTCCTGTGGTCAAGCAAAAAAGCAAACCTCGAAAACCAGTAAGCCTCAGGTCTAAAAYAATGCTGATAATGATAAAAATAATAAGAATATTTACAAGAACAATTCCTCTCTGCTTCTAATTCCCYGGCCAAGTTAAAAAAAGCACAAAACATTCTTAGATAACAATTCAAAGAATTGTTGAAAGAATAGCGATTCAAAGAAAGTTTGGCCTTGGGGTGAGGTTCTCTGAGATAAAATAATCTGCCTGCTCACATTTGTTGAGACTTCTTTTCTATGAACTGGGCTGGTTTGTTTTATTTCTTGGGAACAGCAGTTCGACAAATGCAGACCCACCCTCTGGGTGGTCACGTTTCTCCTCCTCCCCCCAGCGGTTTCTTCTGAGCTCASAAGCCAGAACAGAAACTGAAATGAAGGAGTGATGCTGGGGGAGGGGGAGCACCTTCTTTTTCCATCCTTTGGAGTGACATGTGCTCCTCCAGMAATCCCACTCCTGGCTTCACCCGGCAGCACATGGCAGCCTGCAAGCCCGGTGGGAATGTAGCTGGAGGAGGTGCCAGGTGTGTGTCCAGAGGGAAGGAAGWGCCTCTGCCTGCCCCCAGCTTCCCTCTGCCTGCCCAGAGCAGTGCCACCGGCATGTGGTGAAATCTCTCAACGTTTTTGCCAATGCCAATTGTTCTGTGCACGAGCATTATTCACCTATTTTCTTCTCTCCTGGGTGCAAACAATAATGAAGAGATGGCAGCATGAAGCTGCTCTTGCCACCACCAGCACACAGAAAGGACAGCAAGCATACACCAGGCATCAAAAGTGACAAATATCCAAGCTTCTGGCAGGACAACCCAGTTTAAACAGAGAGCAAAATATCAGCAAGATTCCAACACATTTACACAAATCTGTTAGGAGAAAGCAGCAAGCAAAGGTAAACTCTCCACAGTCTAGCTTTTTGCACAGCTTTTTAAAAGCCCATCCTTCCCCAAGCAGGACTTGCCAGATAGTTTGCTTTATATTATGTGCTAAGCAGGAAAAAAGAAAAAAAAAATCCCTACTTTGACTCTATTACCCCACTCTTCCCAAGGTAATAAGTTATTAATATTTTAGAGAACMAACCTGGTGAGCAGCCTCGGTCAGGACAGGCTTCCTCTCTGGCCAGGACCCTGCACACAAAGGCTGCAGTGAAGATGAAACTAACCTTGCTTCCTCAGATGTTCTTATTGGTGGCCAGTCCTAAAAAAAAAAAAAAGTTTAATGGGTGGGAATTAATTTGAGGGAGGAGGTCAGAAGCTGTGTCCTGTCCTTACAACCACAGACTTCACACACGCAAGAACAGTGATTTATTTTTCCTTTTCTCAGGATTAGTTATCCTG